AGTCGGTGTTCAGGTTTTGAGAGCAACAAAGAAACCAAAACATTTGTGCAAGGCAGAGGTAACAGCACTTATGAGCCTCGACACCACTCCCCCCTGCCAAAATCCTTATCCTTGTCTTGTAACTATTTCAAGTCATAAAAGCATTTATTTTACCTACGCTAGTTGGTTAATCTACATTCAACACCTCTGAGAAGAGAGAGGCCACCATTCATTCCTCACCAACACAGGCTTTGGAGACCACCTCTCAAAAAAAGGATTAACAAATTTGATTTTACTCGTTTTCATTATAAGCACTGCACACAAAATTTTCAGTTTTAATTAAAAAGCAACTAATTTGTGTCCAAGTCTTTTTTTTTTAATGCTAAATAATTTAATTTAAAAATCTCTTCTCCTCCCCACCTCTGCAATCTTTTCTGGAGTGAAATAATCCTTTAATCTCACATGAACTAGATTGTCCTTCAATTCAGGCTTGGATTATTTTACAGATTTATCAAGTCTTCTCCATTTCACTGTGCTGTTTTCTCCCAGCTTCAGTCCAAGATTAGTTTGGGGAAGCATGTAAAGCTGTTTCCTGTGGGTGGATTATCACAGCTATTTATGAATTTTTATGCTAACCTGATTCTGAACTCTTCACTTGGAGCCGACATCCTCCTTCCCACATAAAACCAGAAGCTTTTGCCTCAGTGCCCATTGCCCACCAGTGCTACAGATTAACTGAGTGAACACGGCAGCTGCAGGTGTTTGGAGTGAGGGCAAGAGTACACAAGCTCTGAAGACGATCATTGCAAATACAAGTTTTCCACTGCAGCCAAGATGGTTACTCAGAGATGATCTTCCTTCAGAAGCACAGTTCAGCTGCAAGTGCAGAAAATGCATCTGAACCAAGTAAACTCTTAATATCTGCTCCATTTTTGTTTCAGCCAAAACACACCTTTCTGTTCCAGGAAGTTATCCAAGAGATAAAATCACCTTGTTCTCCCCTTAAACTTTAATATTCTTCATATAGGCACTGAGATACTGAGATACAGCCTTCAATTAAAAAAAATAATTGATAAACATTTTGCGTTTCCCTCCTTTTCACACCTCTGAAATGCCAGTAAAGAGCAGGATTTTTAAACATTGAGACACTGACAAGATAGTAAGCTGCAGGAAAGGGAGGAGCAAAGCATCTATATCATACATTTACTATTCTCGTCTTCCTCATTCCTTTGCCAGATTTGAATTGCCTGCCTTCCCACAAAGGGGCATCAGGGTGTCTTTAAGTAATTCAAAACTACTGGAAACAAGCAGCTTATGCCTGGGTCTCATCTTCACTCCATCCTTCAGGGCAGCAGAATTATGAAGCATGTGCTACTCTTCTGAAAAAGGCAGTCAAACATTAACTTCTTTATTTGCATGTAAAGTATGGCCAAACACAATCCAAGTTTAGAAAAAATATGAAGATGCTGTCAGGTCACATTAGACCACATTCTTACAAGTAAAACAAAAGATGTCCTGACAGAGTTCTGGTGAGGAGGAAGAGAGGAAGGCTTCACTGAATCAAAGACCAGTTTAAAGAAAGTTGTCAAAAACCTTAAAGGATAAAATCATAGCACAAAGTGAACAACATAAAAATGAAGCTTTGTAAATCTGAAGGGGCCATATCTATTCACTCTAGTGGTTACCGCTACATGTGGTGAACAACAGCCACTAGTTTCTCCTGGTCCATCTTTCTCTAATAGGAGCTGAAGGAGCAACGCTGCTCAAGCGTATCCTGCTGCGCAGGGCACACCGCCTCTACAGCCTCGGCGCTCCTACCTGCAGTGCGCGTCTGTCAGGAAGAGACCTCTTAATCGAATAAAAACAATCCCCATCTCCAAGTACATGACACCCCACTTCACCTGGAAATCTATTGTCAACAGAGGGAAGGTACTGGTAATTGGTGAGCAGCAGACAAGGCAGCTTCAAGTGTGAAGCTCAGAACAAAGCTGCGCCCTGGCAACAGATGACAGCCTTCAGCTGATGTCTCACAATTACCTCTTTCAGCAGAAATTGAAAGCATTTTCTCTCCTTCCCACTTTTACATGATACCAGGTTTAGCATGATAAACCTTGAAATGATAGCCATGGAAAAAATATTGGGACAATAAATTAGGTTTCTATTTGCACAATTTCACAAAGTAGTTCATCACAACTTTAAGTTTCCCCCCCCCAGTACTTTACATGATTTTAACACAGTATTGGAAACTACGACAAGAACAAAGGGTGCAGGAACTCAAGGTCAGAAATATACCCAAGCTCCCATGGAGCTAACAAATTATAAATTCCTAAAAAAGCCATGGATGGGTATGTCAATACAGAGTTTCTGGAAATATCACAGGGGCACTGTCCTTTCCCTTCAACTGTATGGCCCTACTTACGCCATTAGTGTCATCTTTAAACAAGCAACACTCAGGAATTATGAACCAATATTTACAACAGAGCATCACGAGCATCCTCAGCCCTTCTTTGAGAAGGGTAAAATACTGACATACTCCAATATTTACAACAGAGCATCACGAGCATACTCAGCCCTTCTTCGAGAAGGGTAAAATACTGACATACCTGGTATGTATTATTTATGAAAGCTTTTTGTTCCATTTTTTTAAGAAGCAGTGGTGTCCTCCTTTCACTAAAAGACGTCAGCAGGCCCAAAGCTGCCACAGAACACACAACATGGGTTTCAATCTGCAACACACAGGGAGCAGCGCCCAGTTGTGCTTCGGTAGAAATGGTGAGGAAAGACAACCAGCCTGACACCACCAGCTGCTGTTTCCATTTCACTTGGATCTCTGCTAGCAATCAGCACGCCATGGCTCCTCCTGGTCAACATCTAATTGCACAACAGAGGGGTAACAGTGGCTCTACCGGAGCTGCATTCCCTTCTCTGTTACAGGCTATCATCACTGGAAAAACCAAAAGTTCAGCTATGCGAGCAGACGCCCTCCAGAGTTACCTTCCATGCCTCTGCTTTGCCACCTGCCTGCATCCCACCTCTGAAGAACCTCCTTCCCTTACTCTAGGAATGAGGACTTCTTCCAGGCTCATGTGCTTACGTTTGTTTGGTGTTGGTCTGCTTCCCTACTAAATATCTTCAAAAAATGAAGAATTATGAAACCATTTCAGCTGTGTCAGGAACATCTACTTCTACACATGCATTAAAATGGCATTAATACAAAATACAACATACAAAGATTAGAACCAATGGGAAAATTAAGTGCTTCAAGGATGGCCAAAGAGCTATAAAAAAGGCAAAAGGCTGCTGAATGCAGAGTTACTCAAGGCAGCTTTTTGGTTTTTTACTATAATTTCAGGCCTATTTTCAATTTTATCCTATAACTTACTAATTTATTCCTCCCCCCCACTGATCTCAATTTCTCTTTCTGCCAGGTTTAAAACATTTGGAATTTTTTATGATTACACAATATCTTTGAGAGATATGTTGGTTTTTTACTATAATTTCAGGCCTATTTTCAATTTTATCCTATAACTTACTAATTTATTCCTCCCCCACTGATCTCAATTTCTCTTTCTGCTAGGTTTAAAACAACATTTGGAATTTTTTATGGTTACACAATATCTTTGAAAGATATGTTTGCATTGCTTCTATCTAGTTTATATCTCACACATACTGTTTACTACAATATTTGCCCCCTCTAAACACCTATGAAGTTGAAAAAGAGCCATTACACATCCATCATCAGAAGTGTGGATCTGATTTATGTAATAAAAGATAATGATCACATTCCAAACCTACTAGGGAGACGTAAAAACAATAATAAAATATTTTGTGTATACGCTGGGTTGTACTCACAAGCACGAGGGCCTAATGTCATACAAGATTCCGCCCCCGCTCCAGTGTTCAGCATTTTAGAGATCATAGGAAAAGTGCGTTCTTGCATTTCTGCCAAATGAACTTAAATACCTTTTGGTTTTCACCCTACACTATTTCAGACTGTTTGTAGTCCCAGAATGTTTTTTAATCCCTAAATCAGCCTTACTTCAATGGCTCAACGGGCCTTGGAACCCATCATCTTACACTTTTTGACAAGTACCCCTCAAGAGCAGAGACCTACCTCAGTCTAGTAATCAGTATGTGATTAGCAATCAGACCTGCTTGTTCTTCCTCAGAAACAATACCCAAACTCACAGAAAACCCTCCCGCACACATTTTTCCATCCTATGACCATGGTTTCATCTGCAGGAGATGACTGACCAGTGTTTACTATCCCATGCTTTCTCCCTCCTTCTCACATACCTCAATAATACACAATGAAATTCAGCCCCAGACAATGGTACTTCTTCACAGGAGCAACGATCAGCTACTTAGTTAAACAAGGAACAGCTCTATCCCCAAATTCTTATTACATAAGCACATACTGTGATGATCACCATTAGCTGGTATTGTTCAAGCATTGCTTATGACTCTGGCGAAGAACTGTATGTTAATACTTTAGTGAGAGATTAGTTGTTTGCTAGCTGTGGGTGAAAAGCATGTTTCAGAGATGAGGCACAGCAGGGCCCGGACTTGTTGATGGGAGGAGTATACTGCAGAAATTGGACTGTGTAGGTGAGCATTGGGTGGGGGAAAGGAGTGGGATCTGAACAGAGTTCAGGTATAGTGGAGGAGGGAAGAGAGACAGAGATTATTCACCAAAACAGAGTCCTACTGCCAACCACTCCTTTAGGCATCACCTTAGATAAACCTTGGCTAATTGCACGGGGTACCAGAGCTGGCTCAAGTAGTGCTCTGCTGCACTGCAGCATAAAGGAACTGGGGAAGAGCAGGGCCTGTGCTGGAAGTTGATGCAAGGGAACCGATAGAGATAAGCTGACAAGCAGAAGATGACACATCAAAACAGTACTAAAAAGCAGAGGTTTTGAACTAGCCACACTTTAATCCTATGAAACTATAGCAAAGTATTCCAAATTCTTCCAGTCAGAGGTACCTTTTTCACCACAAAATGAAAGAGACAACCATACCTGAGTCAGAACATCCAGCTGTCCCATGATATGCTCCAAGGTATTTGCGAGACTGGTCTCCTCCTCTTGACGTGCATGGTTCCTCCCAGAATCCTGAGTTTTTGTTTTCTTAACATGAACACCACAATCCATTTCTGATTGCTAGAAAAATAAACAGACAATCCACTACTGCAATGCAAACAACTGGAGAAGGATGGCTGTTTCAAGGAAGGTAAACAGTAAAGAACAGTCTATGTTGGGACATATTAAAAATGGGCAAAAGAGAACATGAATTGTTTGTTCTTGTGACAGCTGGAAAAGGAAAAGCTGCTGCAGACATGTCTGTCTTTACCAGGTGGGAGGGGTTTTTTGTTTGTTTTTCAAACTTCATCAGGAAAGACAAACCTTAGATAACAATCTCAAAGCTATCCTGCAAGATTCAAGTTTTGTATGGGCAAAGAGCTTTGGCAAGCTCATGGGCTACACAGGCAGAGACCATACAGGTAAACGAAGACTCACTGGAGCCACATGGAAGCACTACATCCAACTCACAGAATTAAGTAAACTACCCTGAGAGGAGTCCCATCATTTCACCCCAACAGTGCAGTAAAAGCCTCTCTCCATGTTTGGTAGTTGTAAGAAGGCAAAGATGCAGTACTGTAGTTAAGTTCAGCAAAAGCAAGTTGTTCCAATATGCATTAACACAGACAGTTTTGATTTAGCCATTTTAATTTTGTTTATATCTTGAACTAGTTTTCCCTCCTCAATAAGGTTAAGAACAAGTTTACTTTCAAGTTTCAATTTCAACTGTTTTAGTTATGCAAGCTTGAATATTTCATTCAGAATAAATTAAGTTTTAAAACTACAAATAGATCTTTACTAGAGAACTTGTTCTTCTTTCCTTCTCTTTCAAAATGGTATTTTTCTTCTGGAACAAACACTATTTGCATTATTTATCTGCACCACTGCCAGCAGAAGTTCAGAGAAGTTTATCTAACTAAACAAGGTAGGCAACTGATTAAGCAATTGCAGACTTAAGCTTCTCAATTTGCACTAGCAGACAAGATTTGACTCTAAAGCCAACATCACAGCACTCAAAACATAGTTCTCCATGGCTCCATACCTGGTGCAGCTCCATCCCATGCACTTATAGTACTCGCGTAAATGACTGAAGTTTGCAAATCAACAAAGCAACAAGGAATTCTGACAGATTGAAAAATGGGCTCTAAGTTCTCCCACATGTACTTTTTCTAAGCAAGAGATGAAGAGTTGCTTCCACCTCTTCTCTCACACACACTATTATGAATGCATTTCTCATCCACGCTGTACTGATTTACCTGCTCACCTCTGTACTTGACGCCAGGTGTGTGCAGATGTGCAACTAAGCTGCAACTAGACCTTAGACCAGCTCACATAACTTTAAACTCAGAACTGATCAGTGCATTATAAAGAGACACACATACACACAGGTGTATACACATTGTGGTTTAACCCCAGCCAGCAATAACCACCACACAGCCGCTCATTCACTCCTTGCCAGTGGGATGGGGGAGAGAAGCAGAAGAATAAAACTCGAGGGTTGAGATAAAAACGGTTTAACAGGTAAAGCAAAAGCTGTGCATACAAGCAAAGCAAAACAAGGAACTAATTCACCACTTCCCATGGGCAGGTGGGTGTTCAGCCATCTCCAGGACACAAGGGCTCCATCATGCACAACCGTTACTTGGGAAGACAAACGCCATCACTCTGAACATCCTGCCCCTTCCTTCTTCCCCCAGCTTTATATGCTGAGCATGACATCATATGGTGGGGGATATCCCTGGGGTCAGTTGGGGTCAGCTGTCCCAGCTGTGTCCCCTCCCAGCTTCCTGTGCACCCCCAGCCCACTCGCTGGTGGGGTGAGAAGCAGCAAAGGCCTTGGCTGTGTGTGAGCACTGCTCAGCAACAACGGAAACATCCCTGTGTTATCAGCACTGTCGCCAGCACACATCCAAAACACAGCCCCTACTAGCAACTGTGAAGAAAATTAACTCTGATCCAGCCCAAACCAGTACAACACACATAGACATGCACTATATATATGTGTGTGTATATATATATATTTAAAAAATAAATACATATAAAAAGAATTATGCTGCAGGGAGTCACTGATTTAGGCCACAGAAAGGCTCCCGAGGCTGAGGTCTAGCCCAACAGTTAGGCAAAATAAGCAATAAGCAGAGCAAAGAACAGAAACATGACTACATAGGGAAACTGGAGACTGGGAGGAGGATGTGGGGAGAGAAAAGAAAGAGGCCACAGCAACGGTAAGCTTTGACAGGAGAATAGCTTGCTGCTGACCACTAACTGCTAGTAGTAAGGGCCAACCATTCTCCAGACCCTGCCAACCAAACTATCCTCATACCGCCAAGCACCACAGGACCAGTTTTGTATAAAGAGCAGGAAAGGAAGGGAAAGGTTTAAAGGATACACATACCAACTGCTCCACAGGGACCACTGTGTTACACCACAGGCTCGGGATGTAGCAGGTATTGGGTGGTACCAGCCATGCTGGCCTCCACTAATTTGCTTCCTCCCGCTTGCTTGGATGATTTGGATTATCTACAGGCCCTAGGCCAACACAGCCCACACTCCGGGTCACACTGCACAGCCTCAACGTGGAAGCCACACTCCTGTGCTGCAAGTAGTCCAAGAGCCACATCTTACTCACTGATGCATTGATTTAATCAACTAAAATATGTTCTTGCAGAGATGAGATAAAGCCAGTCTTACAAAGCTGCTATGTGCTGTTTAAATTTAAAAACAAAACAAAAAACCCACTGCATTTCAATGGGTAATTAGCATTAAAAGCCATGTTTTCCTGTTATTTTAAGGCTGACTATCCTATTTTGATGATGTAACTTTAAGCCAGTCAATCACAACACAGCAGAAATTTGAGTGAGCTAACACTGCATACAACCTGCACTTAAAAACCCCAAATGATGATGAGCTATCCACTTCAAAACCCATTAGAACAAGCTGAATCACAGAAGCAGAAAAATGACTGTACCAACATATTTTCTCCCTCTATCTTTGTGTAGCACATGTCAGACAGCTTTTCATAAAAAGCTGCTGGGTTGAACTCAGAGCTGGTACTCTCTTTGCTACAGACCACAAAGTTTAAGAGTCTGGCGTATTTGCAAGAGCAATACAGCATAGATATTCCCCCACCCAATGTTTTAGGGGTCCCTCATCACGCCAAGTTGAAGCCAGGGGCAGCAGCAGCTGTTTGTCACGGATGCTACGTTCTGCTGATCAGCTCACAGGCTATGTACCACCCCCATGAAAAGCCAAGCAGGCTACCTCCACAAAGCCCATGCAGGCTCCTGAAGGCACTCTGAACGGTGGCAACACCCCCAAGAACAGAAATATATCTACACTTTAAAAATAGAAGCATCAGAAATATATCTACACTTTAAAAACAGAAGCATGACAACATGGCATACTGCCCCATCTCAACCACCACAGCTGCTTGAAAGGTTCCTTACAGCCCATCATCATCAAGAAGATAACCTGGAGCGAGTGCCCTCAGCAATGAAGTTCTGAGTTAGTTCATCTTTCCAGCCAGCAAATAAAAACTATGTCAATGTGTCATGGAGTGTGACTCCCAAAAGGGAGGCTTTCAACTGGCCAAGGTCTCTGAATATTCAGCTCCAGGAACAAGCACATCCTACCTAGCCTGCCCCGCCACAGCAGGTGCAGAAACAAGCATCCCACACCTCCAGACAGCACTTTAAATCACTGCCCAAGAACAGTCAGGCAGAGAAACCAAAGTCAGTTTGCTCTAGCTTCTTACTCATCCCACCTGCTCTGATGGCATCAAGCCGCAATCTGAAGTCTGGAACCCGTCCAAGTAGGATTCTCAAAGAGCAGCCCTATGTACTGCATTCAACAAGGGTTAAGCCTGGATTTGCCCAACACAGGCACATCCAGCACGAGGTGGAGCTTACTGAGAACACCTGCAAACCCTCAGATGGACACACACGGAAACACTGTGAGCTGTAAATGCAGCCCATGATGTACAGAACAGCAGGACAACAGCAAGACAACAGCAAGGCATCGGCTGATGGCCAACCCAGCCAAGGCGGACACGCACGCTGCTGCATCTCAAAGGCACAGCACTTTCCTTTTCACAGGTTAAAGCAGAGCAATCACATCCATCTGGATCAGATTCACTAGACTAATGTCAACTCACTTTTTTTGAAAAGGCTGAGGAGCCCAAGCAGTTGTATTGACACTACCCAAACCATGTTCCACTGCTACCAGCAGTGATACCGTGCCCTTCCTAACACAGCATCAAGGAGGAAAACAGTGGGGTTTGGGGTTTTTTTTAATCCTTTCTGGTTTTTCATGACAAAGTTGTTGGTTTTTGGGTTTTTTTGTTGTTGTTTTTTTATTTTTTAAATTTTTTTAATAAGGAAAACTTTGCCTGTTAAGAAGACACAGCTGGGACTTCACAGGGTGGATGCTGTGAAGATGCTGGCACATTTTACAAGTGTGCTGAATCTGAATGGACACTCAGTTTTGTTTGACATTAATTTTAGAAAGATGCCAAACATTTTGATGAGCTCAAACACACTCTTCTTAATTAAAAAAAATTGGAAAGAGACTCCAATGCTCAGAGGGACAGGTTGTCTGCCATAAGCACCCACCTGCACTTCTGTTGTACACCAGCAGTGACACCAGTTGAAGCTGTTTCATAAAGGCTATAATGCTGTCTCTACGGTATTGTTTGTAGAGCTTCCAAATTTGACAGTGGTCAGCATCATTGCCAGGTCCTTCAGGGGAGCTTTGCCCTCTACATTGTAACAAAAGAGGGAAATGTTTGAAAACTTTCCCTTAACAGCCAAGCTACAACCTGTACTTACCACTACCTTAATGGCCAGTACCTTAGAAAGGAAATGTGCACCCAAGTGAGGAAGAACTTAATTTCCCCCAGACTTAAACCTTTTCAAATTTTGTAAGCGAGGACTAAATCAGCCCCTACTACTGTCCATAAGAATTAACAAGACAACCCTCACAGACCAAACTACAGCCACCCTTCTCCTAATAGCAACCATGTGGTGAGACAGCCACTAGTGATTTAAATTCCTACAGATTTTAAAAAACATTATAAAAATACA